GGGCGGGGGGCGGTTTCCCCGCGCCCTGCCCTGACGCCGCTGTCTCCCCGCAGGACCTGAAGCGGTTCCTCTACAAGAAGCTGCCGAGGTAACGTGGCGGGGGAGGGGGTCTCTCGGTTACCGTGTTCCTTGTTTGTTATAAAAAGCCTCGGTTATCGCGTGCCTTGTTTGTGATATTCCTCGCTTATTGTGTTCGCTGTTTGTTATGTTCCTCGCTTGCTGTGTTCCCAGGTTGTTATATTCGTCGTTTAACGCTGTCGACAGACGGTGGTTATTGAGCAATTCGGGTTTCCCAAGTCCCTCCCAAGTAGCGTCTCGTGACGGGCAGAGCTTATTGAGGCGTTTTTCCCGTGTGGCTCTCTCTTTGCAGGGGAAATTAAAAAAAAAAAAAACAAAAAGGGGTCTTTGCCACTGGTTGTTCCTCATTTACATGGTGTTTTCTTACTTTTCTGCAGTGTTGAAGGTCTTCATGCTATCGTTGTGTCGGACAGGGACGGTGTGCCTGTTATCAAAGGTAAACTTGAGCTTCTTGCTGCCAGGAGCCTGTGGTTGAACAGCAGGGGTGTGGGAGAGGCTTCCTGAAGAAGATATCAGATATCTGGGAATAGCAAAATTTAAAGATTTGCATTAGATTTTAAGCCAAGTTTAACGGCCTGATGTGTGCTGACTATTAAGCCATGTATGACATTTGAAGATTGTCCCGCAGCGCTGAGTTGGTGCAGAAGCGTTGGGAACAAATAATGAGTCCCATAAACCACACCTGCATTTGGGACAGGACTAAGCTGGATGAGGATTTGCAGTGCAGTCATGGATCCTGTGTAAAAACAAAAATATCCTTTTTTCTTTTTTCTTTTTTTTTTTTTTTCTTCCCCCCCAGTTGCCAATGATAATGCTCCGGAACATGCACTGAGACCTGGCTTTCTATCCACCTTTGCCCTTGCCACGGATCAGGGCAGTAAACTAGGACTTTCAAAAAACAAAAGCATCATCTGTTACTACAACATGTACCAGGTGAGATATCCTTGCCAGGGACCAGAGCAACTCCTGCTGTGAGGAAGGGGAGGCTGCTCAGGCTGTGCCAGACTTCCAGCAGGCTGACATTTGCAGTATTTGTTGAGCTTCTCTCCTGTTTCTTGAACGTGTGAAGATTGGCTTGTTAAAAGTGGTGTTTTTTTTTTTTTTTTCTGGAGGAGGCAGTAGCCAGCAACTTGCTGCGTGTGCTGTCAAAATGGCTTTCAGGACTTCTTATGAGGCTAATGTTCTCTTTTATAAGCAAATACTTGTGTGTTTATGATCAGAACCACCTACAGTAAGCACATCCAACCTGCCTCAGTTATTCTTGCAACAAATATGACTTCAAGAAAGGAAGGTTTTGAAATAGCAAACACAGTGGATTGCAAACTGGATAATATATGTGTCCTGAAACCTGTCATCCAATAAGTTTTTGCTCCCTTTGAAGTCCCAGCAGTCTTAAAAACCTTTCAATAGGACCACAGTAAACTGGCAGCCGCTTAAGCTGTGCTGTGGAGGTTTGTGTGCAGAGTAACATGTTGAGTCAATTATTTTACACATGGGGAATATATTGTGTCGATTCTCTTGACACAACTAATATATTGCTGTGCTCATGATGTGAGCCATCCAACTGAGGAAAGAGTAAATACTGCTGCACGCTGAGTAGTGTATAATATACCCTTATATTAAAGTCATAGACTTGTCTGCCCTCTCCACATCTGTAGGGAGTGCGGTGTCCATGGAGTGCTCTGCAGCTTTCGCAGTTGGGTTGATTCCAAGTAGCTAACTACAGAAAGTGAGTGGGAAGGAAATGCCAGACTTTCCAAGAACAGCTTCCTGTGAGCTTAAAAGCCACTTCTTACCCCTGCTTGCCTTTTGACTTGCGGAGGCCACTGGTTTTCAGAAGCATTTGCCTCTCTGACATCTGAGGCTGCTCCCTGACTGTTGCTGTTCTTCTTGCAGGTCGTGCAGTTCAACCGCTTGCCTTTGGTAGTGAGTTTCATTGCTAGCAGCAACGCCAATACCGGTAGGTTTTTGTGATGCATTTTAATGGTATGGCATGTTAAGCCCCAGATGTGTGAATTATTGAAGATAGAGTACCTGAATTTAATTGAAGATATCTTAATTCTGCTTTTGCTGCGAATTTTGTCAGAAAAAGTGTTGTGAGGGGCTGAAAGGAGGTAAAAATTCCTAAAGGTTCTTGGTGACTTTCTGAAGAGGCTACTCTTTAGTTTGAGAGTAGCCTCTATCACCTGTGTTGGACTTCATCCTTGCCTCTGTGAGAGAACTCACTGCCCTGGCAGTGATCTTACTGTATTAACCAGTTGATCTCCATTAGGTACACATAAAATAGACCTTTGCCATTTTTTTTTCCCTTTAAGAGAAAAAAAAAAATCTTTAAACTGCTCTCTGCCAGGCTTCTGCGCCTTGTCCTTCCCGCTCTTGTCACATGGCTGCACTTTTGGGACATGTGCCCCCAGGTTGGTCGTGGCCACCAGCAGACAGGAAGGCAGCCCAGGGCAGGCAAGGGGGTTTCTCGCTGGGCCGTCTCACAGCACCTTCTGTGTTGTCTCTTTCCCAGGGCTAATTGTCAGCTTGGAGAAGGAGCTCACGCCCCTCTTCGAAGAGTTGAGGCAGGTGGTTGAAGTTTCCTAACCTGATGGCACAGCCCAAGTCCAGCAGCTCCGCAGAGAAGGAGAAGGAAGAGTCAATAATCCTTGGTTGAGTAACACGCCTTGGAAGAAATGCCACATCCCCCTCGTGTACTAAGTAAGAATAAGTTGTACATAGTACTGAGTCTGAAATGATCTACTAGTGTGTTGTAGATGGATGTTACCTTAGGCCATGTTTCCTGTATTGTGCAGTCCTGGAGAGACCACCAGAATAAAATAGCTCCCATGGAGCTTAGCTTGGCCAGCTGAGCACAAGGTCAGCACAATACTGCGGGCTCAAATGAGCAGCCTGCAGCTTCTCTGCTGCACAGGGAACTAGACGTATGGCAGGACGTATCCTCTGAGTAGCTACCACTTCCTGCTGGAAAACAGATTTAATTGGTTATAAAATGTTATCAAAGATGTGGTTGGAAAAGAGCATTGTGAAAGCAAGTTTGCTAGCGGTGACGTATCTGTACAATCAATAAATATCCCGTTTCGCAGATTGGTGATGCTTTGGAAAAGGAATTCGGTTAATCTGGGTGTCAGCTGCATCCTGCTTCCACACAAGAGCTGTTCTTGCAAAAGCTTTTGCTTCACAGGTTTTCCTAGTGCCCAATGAGACGGGCCCGCTCCTTCCCTGGATGGGTTTGTGTGTAATATGGGTGTGACACTCCTATGTTTCATACTCTTCGTGGGGGTTCGTTACTGGTGACACTCTGGGCTCCTTTACCCTTGGTTTTCCTAAGTAAATAAATCTAAATAAAATACAGTATTTTTAAACGAGAGCGTGGTGCATTAGTCTGTTGTGCTGGGATGTTCTGCAACATGATGGAGTTTCCATGCAGAGAACAGGTGGAGGCTGCTTGTGTAAAACCTGGGAGTTCACTGGTGGAAAATGAAGTGGCACAGTGCTCGGCGGGATCTTCCACCGGATCTGCAAGCTTCGTGTCAGGGTACTGCCTGGGCTGATGGCTTGTGCTGTGCGTGGAAAGGAAGGCTGTGCTCCTAGCCTTGTTTCTGAGGTGTTCTCCCAGAACAGCGATACGCCAGGAGAGTATTGGATCTCTCTTCCCCCCCTTATGCTGCCTCTATCTCATGAAAAATAAAAGCTTTTTGATTAAATTTTAGTACAGAAATACAGCGTCCTTCTGCAAGTTTTATAATGATCTTTTATTCAGAAAAGTCTCTACAAATTTTTTTACAAATATTGGGCTTTTCAAAGTAAAATAAAACACTATTCCTAGGTCCAACAGTGGATTCCTTTTTCCTTAATACGTTTTCTCCTTCCCTTAACCTTAACCTTTACAGGCACGGTTACCGAGAACTGCCTCACTACCTGAGCATAACATCAGCCAAGGCCACCTGCAGTTTGCTCTTTTACCCAGTTTGGTCTTGAAAATGTCTGGTGTGCCACGTTCTGCTTCTAAAATGTGCCATCTCTTCAGCACCAAAGTGTTGGCCTTTGGCTTGCAAAATTCCAGTGAGCACACAAACTATTCAGTCTTCCAAAAATACATAGGAATTTACATCAGGTTATTTAGAAACTGTATTCCTGTAAATTCCTCAGTTATTTTTAGAAAAGATTGTGTTCTTCTTGTTGCTCATCTTGTTTTATATAAAGTAAGCGGCGCTTAATTCTAGAATATCAAGTTCTGGACAAAGCCTCATGTTTTATCTACCACATTTTCTATGGGGAAGGAGGGAGACGCACAAAATCCAGCCTGTTTTTAACAGAATATTTTTAGGGATCCAATTGAATGCTGCTAGGAAGGCTGGCTGCTGCAAGCAGACGTTTGTGCAGAGCCCCCTTGTCATCCATCCTTGGGCTCCTGTGGCACCTGCCCCATTCTCATGTCCCTGCATGTGGGAATGCTCTCCTCGTGCTACTCAGTGCTGCCTGTGCGTGGCAATTATGACAAATGTCCACCTGAAGTCACAGTGTAAAGCTAAACCCTACAGAAATGTCTGACCAGAACTCAGTGTTATTTGTCCATCACTTTGAAAAGGGCCTTGAAAGAGTAAGTTTAATCTTTGGATTGTAACAAAGGCATTATTTACACTCATAGCTATGGGAAAGCATCAGCTCTGACATTTTTCTTTTAACTTGTACCCTGAGCAGGTACTACAGAAGAAGCTTTCTAAGTTTCCCGAAAAGAATTCAAAATCAGCATGTGCTGCTGAAGGTTAGTTGCAATGGAGCCTGCAGCAAATCCTCCAAGGTGGTCTCCATATTTCCACAGACCCTGTGGAACAGTGAATACTCCTGTGTGTGAATTAAGTACATTTTACAAATGCAAACCCTGCATTATCAAACCAATGTGGTGATTTTTTTTTTGCAACAGGCTCCGTGCAGCAGCCTGAGTGCGCTCAGCTGTGCGGGTGCTGTGTGTGCAGAGCTGGATGGGAGCCTGTGTCTGCAGGGCACCCGTGCAGGCACCTGCTCCTCCTTGGCCACGGGGACTCTGGAAACTCTCCTCTCATCACCAGCCGCCTTCCCCTTAGCAAAGAGACAAACCTGGCCCGCTGAGTGCAAGGGTTGGAGGTCAGCTAGGACGTGAGCGTGGCATCGCGCAGCTCCAGCTGCTTCCGTATTTGTGACTAGGACAGAAGCACAATCTGTTACTATTTACCTGCGTGCAACAGGCATGAGTAAAACACAAGTCGAACAAGTAACATTTTCAAATCGTTATGCTGTCTTCCTGTTGCTTTCTCCACAACCTAACACACGCAGTCTGCGGTGCTCTGTACTGTTTACAATCTTTGTGAGATGACATCCCTAAAGGTACAAGTAATCCCTTCTTCATAACCAGGATGTGTTACACCCCAAAAATGCTACAGCAGGTTTGCAGGCCTGTACGTTATTTGAACTACACATCCCAGTCTAGTTGGCCAGGAAGACAGAACAATTGCTCCCTTCTTTGCAGATCTCGGGAACTGTGGCACTTCTGTGCCGTAATACTGTTTTCTTTCATTCCAGCAGTGTCAAGGGCACCGAGGGCTGCCATTTAGCATCATCTTACCAGTTTCCATCGCAGGATTTTGATCCACTCATCTGCTTCTATTCCAGTTTTTGCACACAGGTAGTATGTCCTTAGCGGGAACACTAAGCTGCAAGTAAAACAATTGCAACTGCTTCTTAAATTGCTCAAAGAGTCGGCAGCTCCTCCTAAAACAGCATCATGTTCGTTAAAGACAGAGCAGGGGGGATGAGGCTGTGCTCTTGCACAGGCCCCATGCAGAGCTCAGCCAGGTGTCACTTACGGTCCTTTATGGACCAGGGACAGGCTGTCCTAGGCCTACATGGAGAAAAGACCCACGTTTTGGCCAGAAGTGACTGTGTGACCTGCTGCAAGGTTTGAACTTGGGAGCTGGGGACCTTCCCTCACGAAGCAATCCACAGGCCTAGGCAGCAGTTACATGAACTTAGAGAATTACCATTATACATAATTATTGTAGAGAATTACAGAGAATAAAATAGGCCTATCCCCTTCCTATTCACCAAGAAAAGCCCTTTCTGACAGTGGTGATTCCAGCAAAGCTGAGCAGGACACAGGGCGGTTTGGTTGACAAGAACAGCCTCACATGTGCGAGGGAGATCAGGATTGTGGCCATCAAAGTTGCTTTGAGAAGCAACCACATTTCAAACCTCCTCCTGAGCTGTTCTGACCTTTCCCAAAAGGCAGGAAAAATATGTAGCAATTTACCAGAAGCAATTGACTCTTTCCTGGGAGTAGTCGAACTGCACAGCTGAGCATTCAGTTAAGTCCAGTGCCCGAATTGGTTCTGTGGCCTTGAAAATAAATGAGTAATAAAATGGAAACAGAAGGTTAAACTATTTAAGTTCATCCTCACTGCACACAGACCTCCACACACCTTTTTTTTTTCCAGACATAAGTGTGAGAGCAAAATTCACAGCAGGGCTCCTGCAAGATGAGCTCAGCTACACACAAGAAATAGGACGGTCAGTTTAGACCTAGACAAACAACAGTGTGGCACTAACACAGGAAACTCAGAGCCAGCAGCTCTAAAGGTTTGATGCATTATAGCATGACCAACGCAGTAACAACTTTGGTGTCCCTTCCATAGCACTTTCATAGGGAATGTTTGTACAGGCGTTTGTCCTAACCACCTGCTGGACATGTAATTAATTCCTAAAGCACTTTTAAAGGGCAGAAGCTGAAAAAGGAGAAACACCAGCGGAGAGCTGGAACAGCAGCTGCTGCAGCAGGAGCATTGGTTGTGAACAGATGAACAACATGGGTATCTGACCTCAGGCCAGCCCAGAAGAGCTGGGGTTGGGCATGAGGACTGGACACTGCTGCCGCCTGCCTCTCCTAAGAGCTTAACCCTGCTCAGGTGTGAGCACCTGGTCCTCATTTGCTTCTCTCCCCCCTCACCTTGTTTAGCACCTTGTAAGAGGCAGCTGAGGGGGGAGAGCAGTTCCCTCTCTACCAGAGCGGCTCAGAGGTGCGAGCTGCTCTCCAGCAGGTGTCTGTGGCAGTGAGAGGAGCGCCAGGTGGCAGCTGGAGCCGCTGCCCCAGTGCAGGAGAACATGGAGGCCCCTGTCTCACAAAGAGGTGCCTTCTTGCTTGGTAAGTCACAGATGCTACTCAACCGCTTGGTGCTCTGCCCTCTGAAATGTTATCTTGGACATCTAAGTCAAGTTGGCTCAAACTGCAGTGAAAACTGGTGGAAGGCCCATAAATCAAGAGCTGTTATAAATGGTAATGCCTGAGGGGAATTGTACCCTGTTGTGTTAAAAACCCTTCCATGTTTGGCACGGGGGCTTGGCAGAGGTGTGTGAAGCACAGGTAAAATTTTGGCTGTGTCTACGGAGGAGCCTGACCTGGGGGTAGAAATGCCCTTAGAGGTATGTCCTACGCTTACTCTTTTTAAGCCTAAAAAATGGAATAGAAACTTTAAGGACAAACCTCTCTCTTCCCCGCCTCCCCCCACCTCCCCAGCCGTAACATGTTAATCTATAGCAGAATGCTAGGAGAGAGGAGCCCACTAAATGAG